ATGTATGTATGTATGTATGTATGTATGTATGTATGTATGTATAGGTAGGTGGGTGGATGGATGGATGGATGGATAGATAAATGAATGGATAGACAGGCTGATGGATGAATGGGAATGAGGAAGAAACAATAAATCATACAGACTTCAGACTGGGTGCTTGCCCTCATCTGGTCTTCCCTTTCATGCTTTAGGTGAAATCCCAGCGACCTCTATTATCCCCTCACCTCTGACTATGTTCTGAGACTTCTTTCACAGATGCTGAGCACCAGCCCCCACCTTGACTCCATGACCTGGCTGCCCTGGCATCCCTCCTCCCAGACCTCAAAGGCCCCACGAAGGTGTGAAACGAAGCAGAAATGAAGCAATTCTGCCCATGGAATCTTTGCCAGCTAGGAAGACAGGGAACGACCGGCTGGCCCACACACCAGCTCTCATTTCTCAAGCCAGATAGATGGAGCCCACTTCTTATTTTCAGAGCTGCAAACACACACCTCATTTTTCACAGTGATTGCTATGGAGCGGTGTGCTCGCTGGGAGCCCGGCATGTCTGAACCGATCAGGGAGCATTTAACCCCAACCCACTCACTCCCCTCCTCTGTCTAATGACACTGCCCACAGTCCTCTGAAAGCTGTTCCCAGAAACCCTGATTCCACCCTTGTGAAACTGGGACCATTTCTAGGAGAGCTGGTGGTTTTCCAAGCCCAAAGGGCAGAGAAAGCCCACGAGAGAGACAGCATGATATATCAATCAGCATCATCGCCAGTGGAATCTCCTCTAGTTGGGCTAACTATTAAATGTCACCAAGTCCGAGCCATTTGACCATTTGTTTCAATTTCTGAGGGAAACGAAAAAGACAAGAAAGAAAAATGAATTTTAAAAAAGAGCGAAAGAGAGCTTTCTTTCCATTGCCACCTCCTTTGGAGACTTCACTCTGATCTGGAAAGACAGACGCTCCTTGCTAACTCTCTAAAATGCGTTCTCCTGCACCGGGGCAGGTACAGATAGGACAGCTGTGATGAAGAGAGAGTGGTAGTGCGCACAGATACCCAGCCTCCTCGTGGGGAGTCTAGAAAACTAGGAGTGCCAAATGGGCTTCATCTCATGGGACATTGGTAGTGGCTGTCTAGAAAACCGTGTTAAGAAAGATCCTGAGGCCCAGTAGGAAAGAACACCACGACTGATTAGCAATGTCTGCCATGGGTGCAGAATAAGGGAGCACCAAGGAGTCTCTGTGTATCTGCCTCTCCCACAAGGACAGGCACCACACCTTTACCTCTGCATCCCAGAGCCAAAGTAAATACTTCAGATGTGTTTGCTGAGTTCAAGAGTATTATAACGAAGTGCTGAGTTAGCTGATCGCTCAATATACATCAGGCATTATGCCGTGCAGTTTATCCCTGGAAACCACGCCCCTGTGCAGTCAGTGTTTGCGTTATTCCCTACAAGGAAGACACAAGGGCTCGGAGAAATGCAGTGACTTTGCTAAAGGTCGCACAGCTCAGTACCAGCAGAACCTCAAGGAGTAATTCTGTAATGGCTCCTAAGTCCTCCAAAGGCCCTACACCAGTGTCCTCCACCAAGGTGACTTCTGCCCCACCCAGGGGACAAGTGGCAATATCTGGAAATAATTCTGGCTGTCACACTGGGGTTGGGAGGTGCTATTGACATCCAGTGGATAGCAGCCAGGGATGCTGCCCAACATCCTGCAACGTACAAGCCAGTCCCTACACCAAAGAATCAACCATCCCCAAGTGTTGCAAATGCCAAGGTTGAGAATCCCTGATCTGGATGTCTTCCACAACTCTAGCCACCTCGCGCCCCCCCACCCCTGCCCCGAAAGAAACCAAAACGGTACTTCTGAGGCTCAAGTCTGCAGAGAACAAATCCTCTATTATAAGCACATCTCACTTTTAGATTCATATCCCAGTTAGGCTGTTATTCTCAATTATAGCACCTTCTCAAGAAGTAGAAGTAATTAAGTTTAGTTGTTTGGTTTCATTTCCCAGTATCTGATGGAAGGGGTGAATTCTGTCAATTACATTACGCAGCTACAGCATCATTAGTCTCAAGCAATAATAATCTCCGTGTGGTTTCGTCCGTGGGTGTGCAGATGTGAACTTTGAGATCCCCTCTTTCCTTTCTTCGTGTGGATTTCATTAAACTTGCCAACTCAAGCCTTAAAGCAAAGAGAAACTGTTTAAAGGGAAGGGGGGGAGAAATCTATGAAAATCCAGGCCTTATCATAACAGAGAAGGCAAACAGCATTTACAGCAATTAAACTGATACAGAAACTTCTGTTTAACAATCAAAGCGCCTATTAAGATGTCTCCATAGCTGAACAAAGCTTCTTTTCTACTCTAATTTTCTGATAACAAGCCATGCAGACGTGGAGGCAGAATTGTGTGCGTTCCTGGTGCCTTCAGTCCCAGGGGTAGAATAATAGAAATGTCTTCTCAGATGTTTCCATTTCTAGCGTACAGAATGGGAGTATCGCAGGGAAGGAGGGTTCTTCTCTCCTACAAGTACCTGTCTATGCTCTCTCAGAAGTTCCTCCATACAGAAAGGGGATAAACCAGGAGCCCTAGTCTTTGAAACCCCCTCAGGAGCCAGACGCACATACAGAAGCCTCGACACAAGGAACCGACATTAATAAAGCACTCGCATTATGAAGAGCTTTAAAATGAGAAACTCGGGCTCTGACCTGGTGGGAAGGAACTCAGGCTAACAGAAGAGCCAGGTGTTCAAAAAACATCCATAAACATTTAACAGGTAGAGATCGAGCCCCACGTCGGGCTCTGTGCTGACAGTGCGGAGCCAGCTTGGGATTCTCTCTCCCCCTCTCTCTCTGCCTCTTCCCTGCTCGCACTCCCTCTCTCTCTCAAAATAAATACATTAAAAACTTTAAAAAGAAACAAAAAGAACTTAAAAACATTTAACAGGTAAAAACAGGTGATGATATAGCAAAGCAAGAGGAGGAGAAAAACATGCTGGAGACGAAGACGAAGAAGAAAAGAAATAAGAAAAATAAAAATAAGTATGCTATTTGTTGGGCATTATCGTACGCCAAGCACTATTGTCAAATAATCCCTTGACATATATTATCTCATGTAATCCATCTACTACGATATATGACGCGCAAGAATGCAGCAGCTGTTAGGATTAGCCTCATTTCACCAAGTAAATCAGGAAGCTATGCCATTTGCCCAAGGTCACACAGCAAATAAAGGCCAGGGCTGGGGTTTTTAATTCAGGTCACATAGCTTGGGTTCGATAAATGACAGCCAATTTCATCCCCATTTCATAGACGGGAACACTGAGGCTTAGAAGCAATAAGCAATTGTCTGTAACTAAGAAGTCACTGAGTTAGGATTTGAACCACAGACAGAACAAACTGGATGTGTCTAGTCCAGACTGCTCTCCAGATACACGGCATTCAACCCACCCTGTATGTCCGTGCCTCCTCCCTCTGTCTGGAAAGAGCAAAGGAAATGGTGAACACCGACCCTTATAAGCTCAGGGAAGAGCTGCAGAGTCTTGGGAGGTGGTGTAACAGTATGTTGTTCATTTCAGCCGTCACTCCTGCAGTTTTTCAACAATATTTTGTTGAGTAGAATTATGCCCACATCCCTCCCCCAAGATGTCCTAATCCCTGGAACCCGTAAGTACGTCAC